GGCTGTCTAAGCTACTTTTCATTGTGTGCAGTACAATGCTCCAGTCGTTCCGACAAGCTGTGGATTGGCTGTCCACCTCATCGCTTATGGTCTCGCTAATTCCTGATCTACTTCAACCCGTTTCCCATTTGGGACGGAATAACTTAGGATGGTCACCAAGTGCAGCTGCTGTTTGCATCTCCGATGCACGATGAGACCACCAGGCTTTGTGGTCTATCCTCAACCTAGCACGCAGTTTTATGCTGTGGTCCTTACGAGTCTCATTGTGTTCGTTTCCGTCTGAAATCTCTCGAGCATCGACAAATTCCGGGGATTGGATAAAAATCTATTGTCTAGGTTGACAATTTGTTTTGCCACATGAGGACCTGCTTGCGTTAATAACGTCTAAAAAGCATGAGATCAGTGATATTCAACTGAGTTCATTGAGCACTCACACATTGTGCATGCCAGCATAGTATGCCCATTCAGTACATCTGGTTTCATCGGATGGAAAGTGTCTACGCCCATTGCATCGTCGCAATGTCCGTCTAAACCCACTCGCAAATCGCTACATTTAAAACGCTTTGGAAACAATTTTAACCATAATCTTTCTAACAGTAACTAAACGCGGTGTGATGCAGTTGGATCGGTTGGTTTTCCTAAGCCAGTGGACGCCGTCACCTTTCGGCTAATGCCGTGTCTGAAGTTTTCCGCCCACCCGGAACTAGCAACCCCTCACCATTATCATTATGGGAGCCTATACGATGTTGGTACCCCAGATGAAGCTCATCATTGCAGTTTTCCAACTTGGGCGTTCGGATCGCCAGTAAGCACCACATATCCGTGTCATTGCTTAGTTTGTGGGGGCTATAAGTAGTGCTTGTTGTTCCCGCACGGTTTCGAATACCTTAACGAGCCAGCTAGTCAGACGGCGAACATCCAGCTACTAACTGGGATCCAGTCAACCGAAATAGCTTCAGCCCCGAGCCTCAGAGATATGCTCCCACGGACCTGATTGGCCTTCGAAGCTGCATCATTGGATTGGCACAATGCCATTGTGGCACTAATTTTACATAACGTGGATCTCAGGGTGTTCAAATATCTTCGGTTTTGTATGTCTGTCTCGCATAAGCAAGATATATTGACCGATGGAATTTCTATTGTACGGAAAAGGTATGGTGATCAATTTATGTCAAATTGCATACCTTGGAACATACCATTCTTACCGAGGATCAGGGCTCCGAATTGATGCTTATGAACTGTGGCTTTCCTCTAAGTTGAACATAAGATTCAATGCCTTTGAGTCTTCAAAAGGGTTGGAGCGACCCTCTGCGATTTAATGTGAATCAAAGTGAGAAAATGTGTGGGTAACAATGCATGATGGCGGAAGGTTAAGAATTGGGTGCATGGAAGTGAATTTAGTTTGGGACGATGATGCTTATAAAGCGTAGGGGGGGCAGGAACGCGAAAAGATCTGAGCGGCTGTAATGTTATACATTGTGTGCTCAAGTGACTACGACTGCATTGCCAGTGCATGGTGGCCACAAATGCTTTGTGGTCGACTCGCAGAACTTCACCAAGCAAACTTGATTTAAGCATTAGTCTGGGACGTTTGAAAGTCAGTTGCTGTGTCACCGCTTAATCTAAATTGCAACCAACACACTGTCACTACCATTCAGCTGATGCGCCGCATCTGTTCTACCCTGCTGCAGCAACTGGTCTTGGAGACTGCATTATTTGGCATCTGCATCATGCAATCAGCCGTGCTACGCCAAGCGGGAGCAAACTCCAGTCATGTGATGGCACTATCTGTTCTGAGAAAATCCCGAATGCTGCATTGAGAAGGCATGCTTTTCACAGTAGCCACTGTGTTGACATTGGTTAGCCAATGCACCAGGAAGCCGTCTGTCATTTGCAATGACACTACCCATCGCTTTATCGACTTAAGCTCCTCGTGACCATTGTGCTGGTCAATCAGGCTAGCTGGGCTGCGGTACCCGCAACCGCATCAAAAGTAGGGCCATCTGAATGACGAAAAGGAGCGAGGCTCCAGGTCGCCTGCGTAGCGGACGCAGCTGGACCATGGCACTCGTAATGTGGATCCACAGTCATCGACAACGTGCTGTCATTTCGCCCTAGCATCAATGAAAATTCATCTCGATCACTTCCTGGCTACTCCACTGCTGTTTGCATGCATTTCACTTTCGTACACGCAACTGGTTATCCAGTAGCTGTCTCGATATTCCGGTCACATTCATTCGGTAGACAAGTCCAGCAGAATACAATACGGTTAAAGCAGCGTGTAATCCGGTCCGTACATGTCGTTTCTGCGAAACACTTCAGCGAACACACTGCTTGTCTACCGTTTCAGATGACGAAAGTCCACCATGCATGCCGTCTCTACTTCTGTTCGTGTTAGGAGGACTAACGGCACCATTAAATCGCGCATCATCAGCTTGATGCAGACTGCAAATTACTCTTCACTGCCGGACTTTCCAGATTACGGAAACCAACGCCGGTCTGGGGGCGTCACTGTCCACAGTTTATCCGCAGGTCCATTGGGATAGTGCGTCTAGAGTGCTAAACGTTTAGCTCAGTTTTGTACTTCGCCGCCAATCCAGACTCATGAGAAACACATTGACCCCATCATTGGTAACTGTCGTAATGAATGTACTTTTACCCGTGTTAACGGTGAAACCAAATTTGGCAGTCGCGGGACTGGACATTGGCATGCGTTGCATCCTATTTTCGTCGTATGCAAGCAAGCCACGGTGGTGTGTACACAACAGCATCCGATGTATCCTCTCACGCATTGGGCATTTCTTTTGGTACTTTTTACACTAAACTAACAAACAGCTCGACGTTGAAAGCATATTTGCTTAGTAACGACTCGATCCGATCGATAATTTTCCCCATATATGCAGATGGCGTAAATGTCCTTGCAAATGCGGACAGGCAGTAGCATATGGAGGCAAATTCATAGGAATCCATCATCTGTATTTTCGTCTAAATCAGCCTTCGATGTCTGCCAACTACCCTTTGCTTAATTCCGTTTAAACGATTTTCAGAGACATTAAACAAAATCCGCTTCTGCAGACGATCGTTGCTGTCTGTAATTCGATTTAACCGTATTAGCGATCTGTTACCACAACAAGCCCATTATAAGTTTTGTCGATCCGAAATCATGCGAATCCAATGGGGGTATAAAATTCACCTTTCTATTCCAAACACGAAATGATCGACATATGTTGTTCGGTGTGCTAACTCACCCTCTGTAGTGGATCTCAACACTTTGACTAAACCATTAGTGTCACCGGAAGGCATTTGTATGATAGGATGACAGCCTTATTGATTGCCGAGCTACTTTCTCTGTCCTAGCATCGTTCATGATGAACTTCTTTTTTTGAAGTAGTTACAATAGCTTACTGATTGGATATCTCGTTGCGAATCGGAAATGGTCTGAATGGACTGGTAGTTTTGCTCATCTCATACCATAGAGAAATATGTCATTTATCTGCTATGACTTATTCTCTTTTATTCCTAAATATTTCTTGACTTTCCTTGTCGATCTCCTGAAATCACCGATTAAAACTTCCGAGTTAATCAGTAGGCCAACTCAAGGCCATTTGTTGTTGATACACTGTTGAGTAACAAAGTGTTGCGCTCGAAAACCTTGAATGGTGGAATGATGTGTATGCATATAGCAACGACACAAAAAATAAGTTACTGTGACACAGGTTGCTCGCCTTTGAGCCACATTGGTACACGGCCATCTTTGGTGTGGAAGTGTTAATGGAACCTTTCAAGGGAATACCCCGCATAGAAGCTGGTCCCTGGATGCGATTCCACAGATAACCTTATTGCCCTGACCGTTCGGATATTTCTATGCTTATTCTTACTGTCTACCTCTCTGTCTTTCTAATACACCTACCTAATCGATCACTCCATGAACTCGTTTGGGAGCCTCCTCTAACAGGCTGAACATTTATCTGTTTAATGCTAATCCATCGTACAGATTGAGCAAACCACCTAGTTAAACTTGGTTAAACTTGCGGGAAATATGATCTTATTTCTGCATTTGTAACTGTCATACCCGGATTGAACCCTGCATCTATCAAGCACTTTTGAACAGGTTGGCGCACAGCGCTTCAGTATGTATTTTGGACCTACAGACTACACTACTCTCCTCTACCAAACAATCGGTATACTTATTTAGACAGCTGTTCACACGGCTTACCGGAGCCCCAGTCATTTACCGTGGAATTTATTTTAAGGACCAGGGGTGGGGTTGCGATGCTACACTGGAGCTGTTAACACTTCATAAATTAACGAAATGACTCACCGCATTTTGAGAAAATGCAGTGTTTAAGCATGTTTTGCCACAACGTTGCATACTCAGCATTGTCCACCTGTACAGTGAACAACCTAAAGGAGTGACAGCATCAATGTTTATCATTTGGTGTTCGGCCTATGGAACTGCGTTTGGCGTGCCTGTTTAACTCGAGCATCCACCCTGTTCTAATCACCTTTGCTCGTCTACTTGTCGGCCACTTTCGCACGTAATGTTTATCTGTAGTACAGCCAGTTGGGGGTTGAAACTCCCGAGTCAAGTACAAGACAAATGAGCATGAGAGAACTCACCGAAAGATCGACTATGGTTGGGACTAATCGTCCTCCTGGTTCGAGCTTCCGGGACAAGCCAAATTTACTTCTGTGGACCTAGTCAAACCTTGCGTATGCACCAAGTCAATAATCCAGTTGCGTTCGCTAATTTTTGTCTCATCTACCTGACAGTCTTATCTATGGTTGCTTCTTTCTCTTCAATTGTCTTCTCACATTTTTACTTTTCTAGTGTTACATTTCTGTCTATAACAGATAAGGCAACTGTGTTCATCGCACATTGACGCATGAATCATGGGTGATCAACTGAACTGAACTCTGCCCCCTATACGTGAAATGTCTTCCGTTTGTTCATCTCTCTTTGTTGGTTACACCATGCGCTTTGCACTTTTGTTTCCCAGGTGAAGCGGAAGCCATCCGCCGTCTTGCCGAATCCCGCGCTGAAGCTGTTCGCTTAATTGCAGCCGCCATTGAATCTAACGTAAGCCTGTTTACTGCTGCCGGTTGTTAGCAGTCGGTGTCTCCAAGCGAGACAGTTCACCCCCATTTATCCAATGATCCTGATTTTGTGCATATTATTTTGTATTATTCGTCCAAATACGTTCTCTATCCTTCATTTGACAATGCAGTCCAATAGTTATCCGATGTCAAAGTGTTGGATTTGGTACAGTTCAGTTCAGTACAGTCAGACAATTGTAATGCAGTCACGGAAATGCGGTGGATCCAGTCGCCACGACTCATGTCTTTAGAATAACAATAACGGTAGGAAAATGGGTTGAACACTACCCGAATATGAAGAAAGTTGAATCAGGACAGAACTGCGTAAGACCTATCTGGATGGAATGAAAATTAAGTTCGGTGCATAGAACAGAATGCAAGCGTGTCACTGACTGCGCGACTGTACAATGTCGATAGTCTTCAAGCACTGGTGTAGACCATCTCTGGGCACTCATCCATGATGACGGCACGCGTCAGTATCACAAAGTCTCTAAGTCAATTTCTTCATGTCTTTGTCAAGTCATATACTGGCCACCCCGCGGTTTCACCCAACTTGGTGCGGGGACGGCATCTAATGCATACCGAGGAAACCGGTCCATCGCAATGAGGCTGGATCTTACAGTGGTGCAATGGTTTGTGTGCTTCAGTGATCCATTGAGCTATACTAGGTGGTGCATTTTTGCACCTCCAGAGTAACCCATACCAGATTGGTCAATGGTTGGAGGCCAGACAAACTCAGCCTCCTGGTCCTCCAGGTTGGGGGTTGGAATGAGGATGGCTCCTTATTCCTTAAAACGGACTCCTTGTAGCCCAGTGCCAAACCCGCTGTCTTTCGGACAGGTTTTTGAACCAAAGGCTTTGGTTGAGAACCCTAATCGTTCTCCTGTCTAGGCCTGGGCAACCTGACAGTATTCTGCCCACGCAATACAATGAATTTCACTTCAAACAAATTTCTGATGCTCTGGCCACCGCAGAGGATGATCAACGGTGCCCTATCTGCTGCATCGGGTAGGGTCGATAGGGTCTTGGATACTACTGCTCAAGCCTCCCCGTCTTCTTATTCCCTCTCTTGCGCTTGTTCACCCTTATCGTCCCGTTCCAGCTTCACTTTTACCCCCCCCCCCCTATTCTCGGCCCTCCCCCACCTTGCTTCAATAGTCGCTTGTCTTTTAATTTCAACTCACATGTGAACGCGGAGCGTCATTCCGGACCTGTCAACAGGCTCATGTCCAACCAAGCGGCCCATTCCAGTTCATCGGCTTCCATTTGGAGCCCTCGATCCTCCTTCAGATTAGCATGCCTGAACGTTCGCACATTGCTTCAGATCGGTCAACAGGCAGCACTTGGCCGAACATTAGAGACCCTCTCAATCGATATCTGCTGCTTATCGGAGACCAGCCTGCAAGACTTGACGTCTGTACTCACTCTGCGATCCCCTTCAGGTGACACTAGCAGCATTTTCTCATTACGCTTATCCGGTGGCGATGCAGCTTCGAGCACCGGCCAAGCCGGTGTTGGTATTGGTCTGAGTCCCCGGGCTGAAGCTACTCTGGTTGATTGGATTCCAATCAGTAGCCGGATAAGCGCGTTTCGATTAGCTGGCTCGTTCAAAACTTCGGAGTTGCGTGGGGCTAACAGGTGTCTATTCGTTATCGTTGCCTATGCACCGACAAACGGTAGCGGTGACTCGGTAAAAGATGACTTCTATCGTCAACCAAACGAGCTCCATAGCCACAGAAGAAGCTCGGACACTGTAGTGCTGGCTGGGAATCTGAGCGCTCAAGTTGGAATATTATCCAGAGATGAGCTGCGTCTGGGCGGCCAATATGGTGTACGCTCCCGTAATGATAACGGTGAGCGATTACTTCATTTGTGTGAAAATGCTCGCTTATTTCTTGCGAGCATTAATTTCCAACACAGCACCCGCCGGAGGGTGACTTGGCGCTCACCAGCCTCGAACCAACTATGGACGCAAATGGATCACATTGCGATAAGTTACCGCTGGAGAGGCTGCGTCCAGAAATGTCGCTCGATTTGGAGCACAGGTGTGGACACCGACCATGCACTTGTATGTGCTGACCTGCGAATGCGCTTTGGTGGACGCCCACAACGACGCTGTGAGCGCATTGACACCAGCCAACTGACAAAGCCAGCTGTGCTGAATGCGTATCGAAGTACGTTGTCTTGTAAGTTGGATAAACGCTCATTGGATGCAGTTGTAGGTCACTGGTCTCATATTCACCAGACCTTACTAGCAACAGGAAATTTCTCATGTGGTATGTCTAATCGCCAACATGGACATTGGGTCTCTTCACGCTCTTTGGAATTTATAGATGCTCGCCGGCATATTCCGGCTGGAAGCGAACACAGTAAAACTCGCAAAGAGCTCAAGGAAAAACACCGTGCTAGTCTGAAGACAGACTACGAATCCTGGTCGTCTCATTATGCATCAGAGATGGAAATGGCCGCTGCCCTTGTTAACCATCGTAAGTTATTCCGTCTGATACGGGAAACGGGCAGCAGGAGACCTGGTGTTGGTGAGACTATACATGACGAGAGTGGACAGCCTATTCACAACTTGTCAAAACGCTTAGAGCGTTGGGCTGAGCACTTTGAAAAGCAATTTAATCGATCGGAATGGTTGGTTTTCTCGCCAGCTACTGATCGCCCTGCTCCGTGGGCTGTCTCTTTGGATCCACACTCTCGCTCAGAAGTCGCACTTGAGATCGGACTGTTGAAGGCGTATGAAACCATGGGACTAGGTGCTCTTCCTCCATCCCTCTTCGTATTCAGAATACCTGCTCTTGTGGATGGTTTACACGAGTTTCTAGTCAAACTGTGGCAGCAGGAAACTGTCCCAACTGATTGGAGCCGCTCCGTCATAGTCCCAATTTTCAAGGGAGGCTCACGATCGGAATGCGGCAGCCATAGAGGAATCAGTCTGATCTCCATCGCTTCCAAATTGCTTGTCTCTGTCATCCTTTACAGACTCACTGGCACTCGTGAAAGCCAGATTCGTGAAGAGCAAGCTGGATTTCGTCGAGGTCGTGGCTGCATTGATCACACCTTCACCTTGCGTCAGTTGTTGGAGCACTGTCACATATATTGGCGGCCCACCGTAGTCGTGTTCCTCGATATCAAAGGTGCCTTCGATTCAGTTGGTCGATGTGCCCTTTGGAACTGTCTACTCAGAAAGGTGTATCTGAGAAATATGTGAATATTATCCGAGCATTATATGCGCGTAGCTCGGGCATAGTGAGGGCTTGCGGCAAGTTGTCGTCGCCCTTTAATATCTCCATCGGCGTGAGACAAGGATGCCCGCTGTCACCTTTCCTCTTAAACTTCATTGTTGACGAAGTCATGGAAATCGCGTTCACAGGACACGACTTTGATGGTGTGGATCTGCTTCCAGGAGAACGACTTCTTGACTTGGAGTATGCTGACGATATTGCCCTAATCTGTGATAGCTCACAAACGTGTCAAGTGGCACTGGACTGATTAGCACTAGCTGTCCGTCACTTCGAAGTGCAAAGCGTTCCTCCAAGATTGGTCTGGACCGCCTCCTACGCTGACCGTTGGTGTGGATCAGCTAGAAGTCGTTCGGAAATTCAACTACCTGGGAAGTTGTATCAGCGCCCGTGGAATTGAGGATGAGCTCACGAACCGTATAGCAAAAGCTCGGGGCGCTTTTGCTAACCTTCGCCACTTATGGCGTCACCGCGATATTAATGTTGCCCTGAAGGGTAGAGTGTACAATGCAGCAGTACGTTCGACCCTACTGTACGGTTGTGAAACCTGGCCGCTTAAACCGGCGGACCTGAAGATATTAGTTAAGTTCGACCACCGGTGCCTTCGTAATTTTGCTCACATCTGGTGTGAACACCGCGTGAGCAACGAGTTTGTTCGACGTCTTGTTTACGGCTCAGGAAAAGAAACTGAACCGCTCAGCACCGTTATTTCACGCACCAAGCTCAGACGACTCGTTCACGTGTTGTGCATGCTAGCCTACCGACTCCCGAGACGTGCGTTGTTTGCTCACCGGGGATGTGGATGGAAGAAAAGGAGGGGTGGCCAAGCGATGACTTGGTCGAGAGGAATGAAGGCCCTCACTTCTGAGCTGGCCTCGTATGGAGCGTCTCGGGTCCCTGGTTGGGGTGCGAAAGACGATGTACACGTTTGGTTGGACACACTTGCTGATATGGCTAGGAGCCGACCTCAGTGGCGTTCGTGCTGTGAGTTTCTTTGTCCCACCCCATCCCTCTTGGCCTTCCCCTCCAACCACGATCTCATTATTTAGCTTTATATAATTTCGCATAGTATTTTTTGATGCACAGTAGCCGACTGGTAGCTTACCGGAACGATGCCCATCCGTTATCGGCAGCTCAGGCGGCTTGCACCAGTTGCTTTTTTTCCTTTTTTCTATGTATTGCGGCACAGTAGCTGGGGTGTTCCCCACCTCTAGCTAACGTGTATGATGAAGATGATGATGATGAGGAAACCGGTCATCGAGCATATGAAGTACTTGACATTGCCTAGCAAAACATTTCTCCTCACAGTCTTCGGATGCTACGCTTGCATGGCTATTGTGTAGTGGAAGTCATAACTGCGGAACGCCAGTCATTGTCCTATGCAGTGATTGAAACCTGCATGACTGTCTCAGTTTGTTTGCAAGTTCAGTCTGCCTCCGTCCCTCTTGGCTCAGTGACAAGCTGCGGGCTATTTGGCGTAACCTATCAACTGTTATGGGTTCGATCCAACACAGAAGATCGAGGGAATGCGCACCACGGATGAACTCCAATAAAGCGAAATGGTTCTCGATGGCTTTTCCGTATTGTAAACAACTGTGACAAATCAGTAGAAAAGAACCTGACTAAGAGCCAACAAGTTCCCTCATGCTGTATCATGTGCTCAGTTCACGTACGCACTGTCGATGATTTCGAAGATCATGCTATTCCGGGGCAATATTAATCAGAAGTCACTTA